CACCTAGTCAGGCATTTCTCAGAACGTATCTGCATCATCAAATGTTGCCTGGCCGCACCTCTGGTTAAGGGATGACAAATAGAGGTGGTGTGCATCACTTAAGAATGGTGCAAGTTTCCACTGCTCTTCCCTGCAGCCCCTTGAGGTCACATAATAGGATGCTGTCACCACTAGGCAGAGGGTGCTGAAGCTAAGCCAGTGATGGAGCTGTCTCTGAACTTCAAGGGAAGCCAAGTTTTAAAAACATAACCCTCAGAGACCTGCCATCAGACCACATGAAAGAAGAAGGAAAAATCTCTCTTCTACTTGGACACTGAGATTTGGGGGGCTATTCATCACTGAGGCATGGTCTGGCCAGGAAACAGACAAGCATCTTAAATTGAAGAAAATGCTTCTCTAGAAATTTATTAATCAGATTGACTCCTCAAGAATGTAGAAGTATGTCTCCCAAAGAGGAGGGTGAAGGCAGGCAGGGAGTATGTTTGTACAGACCATAGCAACGGACAACAACCTTTGTACTAGGAATCAGGCATATTTTGGCATAGATCTCTTATTTCAACCACAAAGTTTATTCTAAACCAAACAGAAGGCAAATCTCAAATAATATCTCCTTTTTATATGTGGATGTTTAATAATGCTCTTTCCCCCTCTTCCTGTAGATGTCAATCACACAAACGAGACTAATGTGGATGGAAGTCTTGTACTTCCAGTCCTTTCCTACAGCTCCACTCACACATTAAATAATGCAAGATTTCTAGACTGTACTGTCTTGGTGACTATTATTTTACTTTAAGAAATCTCATCAATCCTATCTTGGGGTTGGGGTTACCAAAGATACAGTTAAGTATTACATTTGCTGCTATAATGGGGGAAATTTTTTGAAATAACAAATCTCAGAGCATCTAACACAGCTTAAAAACTCCCTAATCCAAAGGGATCCGAAGGAAAAAAAAAGCATCTCAGAGGGAGGAGAGTTTCCATCCAGAGCTGACTTACCCCAGAAGCTGCTAACTTGGTAAGGGAATTTCTCTTCTCATGCTAACATTTCCATGAAGTAATTAGGGAATTGGAATTTAGTTCTGCATAGAAGGTGATTTCAGATTTTTGCGGTTTGTCAATAAAACATACAGATGTTGCACGATAAATTGGGGGTATTTGGGCGCTATACTCTTGCAGTATCCCTAAGGACCATTCTTGGAATGATCTTGTTCACTAAATGTGCTAAGCAAGTTTATGAGAGGTTGATTCATACAATGTCTTGCCTAAAGTATTACCCAACCCCATCTACTTTCCCTAGAGTTTTGAATTTCTCCACCATGGGACAATGAGAACATTTCCTAAATCTGACTCAAATTTCTCTCTTCCTGCATTACACTTTTAGCTTCTCCCTAGGGCGCTTTATCATCTGACCCCAACTCTCCTCCTACTTAGCCTCACCTCACTTCCGTCCTGTTTTGAACCAATCACAGCACACACACCCCATTGTCAGCTTCTTCAGTTTTCCCTGCCTCTGTACATGCTGTCTCCACTCCTTCCTCCTCTTCATCAGATGGAGGTTCATTGTTAAGATGCAGCTCACTGGGCTGGGTTGTAGAATGATAGAGCACTTGCCTAGCACTCGGAGATAGACAGCTTGCCTAGTGCATGTGAGGCACTAGGTTCAATCCTCAGAACCACATAAAAAATAAATAAATAAAAATAAAGGTATTGTGTTCATAAAAAAAATGATGCAGTTCATATTGTTATTACCAGCAACAGCATTAATAAGCACACCACAAGCTCTGAAAAAAATATTTATAAAGGTACACTGTAAAAATTGTAAATAGTGTGTTGACCCACTGAGTAACCATTTTTAATCACCATTTGTTGAATATTAGGCTTTTGATAACTGGTTCAGTTCTTGGTGAACAAGAAGGAATTCTCTATGACCTATCACCATAAAGCCTCACTCAACTACAAAGGAAGAAAACAATTTCCAAAAGTCACATGGTTCAAACCCAGCTGTCCATGAACTTCAGGGGAAGTCAAATTTTAAAGGCATAAACCTCAAACATTTAAAATGGGGCTTACTCGAAGGCAATACAACCACAGTGACTAAAAGAAAATGAGTCAGAAATGTTTGCTGCTGTTTTTAGTATTTGCTTCTCTTAAGGAGGTTGAAAAATACCCCTTTCTCTGCAAATATTTTTAAAATAAGCAAGTAGATTGGGCGCGATGTCGCACACCTATAATCACACTCAGCTTGGGAAGCTGAGACAGGAGGATCGCAAGTTCAAAGCCAGCCTCAGTAACAGTAAGGCCCTAAGCAACTCAGTGAGGCCCTGTCTCTAAATAAAATACAAAAAAGAGGATGTGGCTCAGTGGTTGAGTGCCCCTGAGTTCAATCCCCAGTACACACACACATACACACACACACACAAAGGCAAGTAGTTTTTCCCTGGGCCCAGAAAACTTAGTTGTCATAAGATTAAAAGGCAAATTATACACACACACACACACACACACACACACGACTGTAAAGCAGAAAATTACATGTTTAAAGAATTTACTGTCTAATAACATATACAGTAGTACCCCCTTTTATCAGTATGTCTGTATATGGGTTGTAGAGAACATATTTCCCAACACTTAGAACAATGCTTAGCACCTAATAGTTGCTCCACAATTGTGTAGAACTTCAAAGTCCATTAGAACTGAGCTTTTATTCCAAGTGAAATAGGAAGTTTGAAGAGTCTTGACAAAGAAAAGTAACCTGATCTGACTTAACATTCAGAAGAATCACTTTGGGTTACTGTTTTTGCAATAGTCCAGGGTGGTAGCAATGGAGGAGGTGAAAAGTGTTCAGAGTCTGTATGAATTCTGAGGCTGGACCAACAGAACTTGATGGTGAAAAGGATTCAGAGTGCACCATAATGAAGACTAAGTTAGGAAGGAGATCTGTGTGTGGGGTGTGGGAGAAGCTAAATTCAATTTTAGGCTGATTTGATTTCAATATGACAATAGTACTCACCATTTAAAATGTCCATGGGCAATCAAAGAAGTGAGATCTCAGATGAGAACAAGCCCCAAACACAGATACTCAATTCATCAGCACATGAGTAAGAGATGAAATGATTAGTGTGGCAATTGAGGCCAGAGTTTCCACAACAAAGCAGATTTCAGGAGGACTTTTATAAGAAGCCAATATTCTATCATCAAATCCATGCACTGTTCAAATCTCATTAATCCCTACTTCTACTCTGGCTTCCTGTAATCAACCCCACCTTGTCCCCCATCCCCAAAATAGAATTCAGAGTGCTGGAAACACCTTACATCTGGGGTCTGTCTGCCTTAAATAGGAGGTTCCCCTCCTTACATTGCAAGTAGAGCCATCAGGCAGAAAAAAAGGCTTTGAATAGAACTTGCCGAATAACCCAGGGGCAGTTTACTTAATGTGTCTGGGTTAGGGTGCTTGATCTGTACCATGGAAAGGATTGGACTAGATGATATATAAAGTTCCATTCTTCATCTCACAGTTGTTGTTTTTTTGTTGTTTGTATGTTTGTTTTTTTCATTTAGATCAGATTCTTTCTGAGCTCTGCCTTCTCAGGAGTCCCTTGGGTTTCCTGGTTCACCCTTTAATTAATCAGGGCTTCTGAAGTGGAGGGTGGCTCAGAGAACAACTAGAACTTTTCCTTTTAGTGTCTAGTAGGTTCTCTCTTTGCTCCCTTTTAAAGAACCAGCACTGGACATTCCTTCACCAAGAATTCAGAAAAAATAAAAATCACCTCTTTTTTTTTTTTTTTAATCACAAAGGACCTGGGTTCTCTCCACCACTTTTTAAAGTAACTGCTTGCTACCTAGTCTCAGAAAATTGAGAGTAACAAATCCTAGTGTACGTATTTACCCTTTTTCATTGCCCTGTGGCCTTAACTCTGAAATTTTAAAAAGCATTTTTTTTTTCACAGTGCTTAACACAAATGGCACTAGCATTTGGTGGAACAAATTAAATTATTGCTTTAGAAATATCCTGTAAGTACTGAGAAGTGCCATTGTTTGTTACAGTTTTCTGTCTTGGTAGCAAACTGTTTCTCTGTTCTCATTAAAACCATTTCAACTAGCTTCCCCTCACCACTCTAAAGACTGAATTCACAGGGACCAGCAGATTTCCAAACCATTCTTCACCCTCTACTTACCTTAAATTCCAGTTAGCATCTTTTTTCTGCCTGATGGTTCTACTTGCTATGTAAGAGGGGAACCTCCTATTTAAGGCAGACAGAACCCGAATGTAAGGTGTTTCCAGCACTCTTAATTCTATTTTGGGGATGGGGGGCAAGGTGGGGTTGAATACAGGGAGCCAGGGTGGAAGTAGGAATTAATGAGATTTGAACAGTGCATGGATTTGATGAGAGAATATTGGCTTCTTACAAAAGCCCTCCTGAAATCTGCTTTGTTGTGGAAACTCTGGCCTCAATTGCCACATTAATCAGCACGCAAATGTTAACCTGGTGTCCGTTTCTCTAATTTCTGAGCAATGACTCCTAGGTATATATTTATAAAAATTCATTCTGGTGCGTCTGGATATCTTCAGAGTAGGAGACTTGCGAAAAGGCAGGAGAGTGTACTAAAACATAACTCGGGTTGGGGTGGAGGGCAACGTGGATTCCACTGGCTGGGGGCGAACAGGAGAGGATCAAGTAGGACCTGGCACTGATTTTCCAGTTGCTAAGGTCGCCGGCGTCCTTGGTTACTGCTCTAGGTAAGGTGCTCCGCCAACAGCCCGGTCGCCGCGGAATCCCGCGCCCTGCAGGAAGCGCCACCCCAGCGCCTCCAAATGGCACCGGAGAACACGTTCCCTTCCTTCCCGCCATCCCAGCCCAAGGCCCAGGTTCCCGTTAGGAGTCACAAACACGGGGACTTTGCAAAGCGATCTCACCGACGCCTGTCCCAGAAAAGCCCCGCGAGGAATGGGCGGGGATCTACCGCGGGGCGAGTCCCGGGGGCCTCCCACCCCGACTCACGTTGTACTCTTTCGCCCAGGAGTCTATCTTGTCCTGCAACCGTCGTAAAGTTTCGTTCGAGACCAGCCTCCTCAGGTTTTCCGCCATCGCTGGCTTTTCTACGCGGCTCGGCTATGGGAGACAGACGTGGAGGGGCGGAAGCAGTGGCCTCCGTAGGACCGCCGCGTGGTGTAGCGGGAGGGTTGATATCTTCCAGGGGGGCTCAGATAGCAGCTGGTGTTTCCATCCTCCCCTTCGGGTCGGACCGGGCAGGGTTCGGGATGCCAGGGGGGTGCCCTGGGCCGCAGCTGTCGCGCCTCATCCGCTGCCGGGCGCGCCCTCCTGGTTCCCCCGCCGCCGCCCGCGAGCCCCAGCCATTTATATACCCTGGCGATTATTAAACAAAACTTGACGTGGGCAGGCGGCTGCCAGGGACGCCGCGTCGGGGCAACGCTCTTGCCACCCCACCCCGCCCTGCAGCGCCCGGCCTCTGGACTCAGCCACTATGCGCCACGCCGCTGCTCCTGAGGCTGCTTTTCCTCCTGCTCCTGCTTTTGTTGCTGCTTTTGGTGCAGTGGGGCGAGGGCGAGGAGGGCCAAAGCCACCCGGATTCGGGATCGGGCAGGGAACTGGAAGGCTCCGAGATCCGAACCGAGGCGGTGCGACCCCTCGATGGGTCCAGACCGATGGCAGTGCTGATTGAGGTGGCAGGAACCCTCCTCCGCACGCCAGACTCTGGGTGACAACATGTGCCAAGCAAAAGTTAACCCTCCATGGACTTTTTTTTTTTTTTTTTTTTAGACTTTCAGGAAATCACTTCTTTGGCCCTTGCTTTATTCTTTCTCCTCTCAAACCTTTCATGCATCTGCAGCCTCTTGGGATTTGCCTGTAGGAAACTCACTGGAACTAAAACTTCTATCTTTTGCTTTATTTTTTTAGCCCACAGGGTGGGTGTCCAAGTTGATGGCACTAGGAGGTTCACAAATTAGAACCGATCCCTCAGGTTTGGATAGGATTTGGTAGTATGTGCGAGCATATTCGATTGTGCCATTACAGCTTCATTTAATTATGAATTCCTTAAATGAGACTTAGTAAAAGTTCCCACCGCGATCTGTCACTATTTCAAAAGAATGCATTCAGCCACAGTGAGTTGTAGTTTGAACTATTAAATTAAATCATTTCAACCATTAACATGTTAGAAGCAATCTCTTGTTTTATATACTATCAAATGATGTGCTGATTGCAAATCACCTGTTCATTAAATCATGGAGGTGAAGCTAACAACTTTAAACTCGGTTTCATTTCTTTAGGTACTTGAGAGGAAATTGAACATTGTGTATATCAGATTACCATAAAATTCAGAATTTGCACCACCTCTTGTTTTTATTCCTTTTAATTGCAGTGGTTTTAATGTTCAATAATGAAAATGAAAGGTTCATTTCTGGAGTCTGCATTCCTGCTAGTTTTTGTACACCACAAAATTGGGTGTGTCACAAAATGTTGGTGTGTCACAGTAGAAAAATTACTAAAGTAAAAAGAAAAAATCCTACTCATTAAACATCTCCTTCATAAAATGTGGGAGCAGGGAAGAAGGAAAGGAATGGAGGAAAAACATTTCTTAATTTGGAACCAATTGCATATTCCAATAGGTAACAGGAATCTGAGCATTCCTGCTTACTTATAATAAAAAATGAAACGGGACAGTTGTTTATGATAAATTAGAGGCTAAATCCTTTTTCCTTGCTCTGAGCACTTTAATTAGCCTGTAATCCTTGTTTCATCATCTGTAAAAACACAATAGTTCTTACTTCATAGAGTTATTATGAGCCCAAATAAGATAATTCATGTAAAGTACTCAGCATAGAGTTTGGCAGTACTCAAAAAATTCTACAATTGGTATTACTAGGAATTTTGATCACAGTATTATATTAAATAAAACTAGGTTGAAATTATCCAAATTTCCAATAACAGGATGATGTTTGAGTAGATCATTCAATGAAATATTGTATAAAAAAGTCTTATTGAGGAACATTTAATATCTAGAAATTCTCACTATATAATATTAAGTGAAAAAGCAGGACATTACATTATATATTGTGTTAAATTATATAATACAAAAACAAGGTGTTAGCTCCTTTATAGTTTTCCAAACTTTTACCATGAACATCAATTGCTACTATGAATATTTATCAGAAAAAGTTAGCAAAAACTTTACCACTCCTAGAAAAATGTTAGCCAAATGGTTAAGCTGGTGATTTAAAACAGAATATGTTTTAAATCATATGTTCAGAAGAGAAATGATTAGATTATGAAAGCTGTAACCTCACTGGTAGATTAATCTATTGATGGATTAATCATTTGAATGGATTACTGGGTGATAACTTTATGCAGCTGGAACATGACTGGAAGAAGTAGGTCAGCTGGGGTATGACTTGGGTTACATCTTCCCATGGCTCCTCTCTGTCTCTCTGCTTTCCTGATACCATAAGCTGAGCATCTTTCCTTTCCAACGCCCTTCCACCATGATGTTCTACCTCACTCTGGCCCAGAGCAATGGAGTTGGCTGACCATGAACTTTGAAACCATGAGCCCAAAATAAATTTTTCCCTCTACTTTGTTTTTATCAGGTATTTTGGTAATAGTGACCCAAAGTTAGCTAACAGAAACAAATTTAGAACATGGACACCGTTGCTTTATTTTACACTCTATTTGTGAATTAATGACTTTATATGTTATTAACCACTATGAGTCACATTTCTTTCATCTATAAAATGAAAAGCATGGACTAGATGAGTTCTAAGATCTCTTGTAGTCCTGACATTCTTTAATGCTATTTTAACTTTTTATATGTTCAGGATCGAACACACCTTGCCCCTTGTTTCCATTTTTGATTCACAGTTTAGTTTGGACGCAGTCTTGATTCTGAGTTTTTGCTAATCACCAAATATGTTGTACTTTTAATAAATTTAGGCCTAGCTCCACTGACAGATTTCCTAACCCCCCAACCCCTAGAGTTCTTCACTCTTCTTCATATTTTCTCTAACTTTTAGACATTGTCACATTACATAATACTTATTTGTCTGCCTTCTCTATAAGCCTGTGTGTTTCTTGAAGGAAAGGGCAAAGGCTTATTCAGCACAGCCACTGGCTTATGAGAAAGGAAGGAAGGGGAGGAAGAAGGGAGAGAGGAAGGAAGGCAGGAAATGATTGGCTGAATTATATTTGATGTCATAATCCCACTGAGGTAGAAAAAATTTACCAGACAGTTATTCATCCTTAAGCTGTCATAATTCTACCTCACAGCCAGAAATCATTTGTTCTAGAGAAGTATAATGTGTCAAATATTTAACCTGGCAAAGACTTTCTGAAAGTCCTTAATTTTGTCTACTCTGAGTTTTATTTGCATCAATCAACTGGACGTATTTTTCATTTGAGATGTTAAGAAGCCAACAAAAGATTAACTAGATGAAATGAGAGCTCAGCATATGTAGTTCACACAACACTGAACATAAATATATGCTATAAACCACAAGGGTATACAGTGGATCCTCATCCTGATTCTTCCTTACTAAGGACAGTGGCACACCTTTAGCCAGTATGGTCATAAGAATAGTCTGTGTCCTGATCCTCTTCTATGTGTGCTGGGCTATTCTTGTCCTACTGCCGTCTGGGTTAGGATCTTGTTTCTTTGGATCAGGGCCTGTAGCTGACCCAATTGCATGACATTGTTTTTAAATACAGGGTTTATTGGTGGTACGCTAAGGCACTTTTCACTCAGAAGGACAAATTCTTATAGGCAGAAAACATTTCTTTGTTTCCTTAGCGTTCTCTAACCTGAGTGCTTTGTGTTCTCATTTCAGGAGCTTCATTTTTGTCCTTTTTATTTCTTTGCCAGATTGGAGGAAAAGTGAAGCAGGGGAAAGTCCCGTTCATTGGGAGGAAGAACTAATTGATGAAAGTCTGAGCTGAAGGCAGCTTCTCCCACTGGGCAAAAGCAAAGATGCTGTGTCCTGTGTGATCCCAATACCAAGAAGCATTTTCTGCTCAAAGCAGCACATCAGAATTTTCCTGCACAATTAAATCATGCCCACTATTGCTTAAACTACAAAAACAAGAGGGGAAACTTCATGTATCACATTGTCTCACCATAGCAGCCAAATAAACTACAAAACATTTACAGAAAATACAGAGTAAAGAGGGAAAATTAAAAGCAAGGTAGGTGTAGTGTGATATTTACCAAAATACTCCTATCTCAATCTAGGTTTCCATCATAGCACAAAAAAGACATCACTGTCCTTGATATTTTGGGCTCAGCTAGCCATATCAGTGGCAAACATAAAGCTTCATTAAATGGAGTATGTGAAGTATGAGCTCAGGATACATTAAGTTATTGCAGAGGAGCACAGGTCATGGCTCACCCACTAAGCATCTCAGGAGAGTGACATGGGACAGCGTGACGGCCATCTCTAGGATGAGGGACGTTGGAATAGAAACTTTTCCGCACATTTAATGAACATTTACAGGATTTCTACTGGGATACAACTACCTGACTTAAGTATGAGGCAAAATTAAACTGAGTTCCTGGTCCCTAAGGTGTCATGTCATTCAAGAGAAAACTACCACAACCATAGTTCACTGTGACAAGTTATAAAATTCTGTGAAAACAATGACTTCCCTTATGGTCTTTCCTGTTCTATTAAAGAAAGAATCAGGGAAAGTTATGGAAGAAGGTGACATTTAGGGCCAGTTCTGAAAGGATGGAGAAGAGTTCACCGTAAAGACGAGAGAAAGTGGGAAGAGGAGGAACAGTAGGTAAGAGGCGTGTGACTGAATGGAGAGTCAGGGAATGAGGAATCCTCACCAGTGTGACACAGAAGAATCAAGGAACAAGAGAAAAGGCCAGGATAGTAACCTATTATTTTGACTAAATATATTAGACTAAAAAAACCTAATTTTTATTTCATAGGCAGTGGGGAAGCAGCCAAGGTTATAAACAAAACTTATAGGATTAGATCTTTTTTATATCACATTGGAGGTCTTAGAGATTAAGTTTGGAAGAGGTGGGACTGGACCCAGGAAGAGCACTTAGGAAACAGAGAGATGAGGAATGATGAGGTCCTCCCCTGGGATGTTGTATGATAAGTGTTAGAATGGACACATGCCAATAATATTTGTTACCCATTAAAAAATTAACCCAGTATTCATTCATCAAAGTTAATTAGTATGTATTATATATTGGTTCCTAATATGTTCAAGACTTAGAGCGACATGGAAGTGATAACACATTACCCCTGCTTTGTAAGAAACTCACAGTCTAGTCAAGACTAAACTAGGGCAGGAAAAGCAAAATAACAGGTTAGTATATTAAGAATCAAATGGGTATCATGTATCATAGTGAATGGGTACAATAAGTTAAAAGGAGAAAGCAACAATGATTGGCTGTAGTTGTCTGGAAGAGGTATAATTGATAAAGATGGGTAGAATTTGAAGAGGTACAAATACACAGATAAGTAAGACAGATGGGTAAGTAAATTTCCACATAGTGTGATTCATAATAGAGATGTACTTGAGGATCACAGGGAAGAGAATGGATATCAAGTTTGTGATAAGGAGAAAGATTAAGAAAGGTTTGCTAGAAAGGAATCCTTTCAGCTGGGTTTCAGTGGACAAGTAAAACAGCTCAATAAAAAAGAGAAAGATCCACAAAGGGATAGGCTCAGGGACATTAGAGCCTCAATATGTTTAGGCATATGTGTGTGACTACCAAATATTACATGATTGAAATTAAGGATGAGTTTTTGGGAAAGGCAGGAAATGAGGCTAAAAGAGGTAGACCGGATTCGGCAGGTAATAGCCCTAATGTGCTAATACAAAGAGTATAAATGTTATTATGGAAGGACTTGGGGTGAGTGTTTAAGCTTAAGGAGGAGGAGAGACATGATTCAATTTGTATTTTAGAAAGATCACTCTAGAAATAGTACAGAATGACTTTGAGGTGTATGACTGGAGTGGTGTCATTCACTAAGAGAATATAAGGAAAGCAGATTAAGGGGAAAGATTTATGAATTTCAATTTTGGATGTGTTGACCTTGAAGCATGTATTAGTGCCTGTGACTACTATGACAAATTACAACAAAACTTGGTGACTTCAAACAGAAATTATTTTCTCTTAGTTCTGGAGGCTAGAAAGTAGAAGTCAGCAATGTTGATTGCTTCTAGAGGCTCTGAGGGAGGAACTGTCTTTTCTCCTAGCTGCTGGTGGCTGATGACAGTTCTTAGAGTTCCTAGCCCAGTAGTCAGATTGCTCCAATCTCTCTGCCTGTGTCTTTCCATTATGTCCTTTGTGTATACCCTGTCCTCTCCAAAGAGACCTTCCCTTATGGGCCCACACCTCTAAATCCAAGGTCATCTTTTTTCGTTCTGCAGTGCCAGGGATTGAACCCGGGGCTTTGTGTATATTCCATAAGCACTCTACCTCAGAGCTACAACCCTAGCACTGGTAATCTTATCTAGAGATCCTTAACTTAGTCTGTGTCTCAAGCCATTCAAGATGCTATAATAGAACACCACAGACTGAGTGGCTTATTAAACAAGAGAAATTTTATTTCACCCAGTTCTGGATTTGGGGCAGACTAAGATCAAGGTTTGGAGTCTGATGACAGCACATTTTTAAAATTCATAAATGGAAACTTATCAATATGTTCTCACATAGTGGAAGGGACATATGAACAATCTTGGGTATAATATATAAGGGCATTAATCTCATTCATGAAGGTTTGAATTGGTTCCCCAAATTTTACGTGTTGGAAACAATCTCCAAGTCAATAGTGTTGAGAGGTATGACCTGTAAAATGAGTAGGCCATGAGAGTTTGGCTTCAGAAAGGATTAAGGATTATCTTGTGAAATTAAGTTATCTCAGGGGTAGACTCCTTGTGAAAGGATAAGGATGGCCCCTTTCTTCTCTTGCCCCCTTGCCTTTCTCACCTTTTGCCATCCTATGGTAAAAAGGTCATCATCATATACAGCCCTCTCAACCTTGGACTTCCCAACATCCAGAAACATAAGAAATAAATCCCAGGTATTCTGTTATAGCAGTGAGAAATGGAACAAGACATTTCCCAAAAGCCCCATTACTTCCCAACGTTCCACTTCCCAGTGCTATCGTATTTGGGCTTAGGATTTAAATATGAATTTGGTATTGGCAGAGGCACACAAATATTCAGCTTATAGCAAAACCCTATTTCCACAAAGATCACAAAAATACTGAGGGTTTTATGTCTTGGATATTACTTTTTTGAGGGACACTATGCAACCCACTACAAAGTGATTGAGAGGATAAATATCTTCATAGTCTGCTTCATACTGGGGAGTATGGGCTGTAGAGCTCTGCTTTGTGCTTCCAAATTTAATAACATACAATAGGCAAAGGAAATACAAAACGAAAGGCCATGTTGTTTGACAGAAACAGTAAAGATTTGAGTAAGATGAACATGAGTTCAATCTTAGCTCTTTCTTCGTTGAAAACTTGGTCAGTCATTTAACTTCTACAAGCCTTGATTTCCTCACTTGAAATATAGGGACCTATCTCATAAGACTGCTGTGAGAATTATAGAGACATTAACAGGCACACAGTGGTCTCTAAATACCATTATGTCAAATTAAAAAGTTTGAAGATAATATACTTGATATTGCTTATGTTAAAGTTGTGATTGTATAAATGAGTTGGATCTTTTCATAAAGGACAGAGATTGGCATCAAGGACAATAGTGAAACAACCTATCAGAGACAAAGATCAACAATGAAGAATCCAAGAGAGGGAGATCTTCAGATAGCCAAAGGAACATTTGGCTTCAGAAAAATTTGCTGTAAGGGAGGTATCTGTTATCAGAACCCAAGTGGGAGCAACCTTGGCAAAATCAAGGCAACACTTTCTAGTCTCAAAACTGGAATATTAGGCATATTTTGAATAAATGTAATAAGCTTCATACTGTAGCAGGCATTGGAGATAAAAGGATGAGACATAGACATACAATGCAATCTGAAGTATTACACAAGGGTAGGAATAGAGTTAAGAGAACTCCTAAAACAACCCTTGATAGCCTTGGAAGGATTTGAAGAGAATGAGACATTTGGATGGTCCTTGAGGATAAATAAAGAGTATGTCATCCAGAGAAAGGAGAAGGACTCTACAAATAGAGAAAAAAGAAGCAATGCATAGGAATTAAGGGATACCTTTCCAGATTCAGAAACAGAAACTCAGGAACAATTAAAAGCCCAGTTATCCAAATTTATGAATGAAAACAGAGCCAGGCTATTAACAGAGATTTAGTGTTGCCTCCCAAAGTCTACACCCATATTTTTTTTTTAGTCTTCCTGACTACAATAGCAAGTTTTTCCTAGGGTCTGAGGCAAGAGCAAGCCTTCAGATGTGAGTCAGATAATTTCTAGCATTTGAGAAAGAAGATATGCCGATACTGATGACCAGCAGTCAGATACAGACCATACATAAAACCACAGAATAGTAGGCAGAAAGATTAGGAAGCATTTACTACATTGAATTATCTAATTTAAACTTCACATTAATCCTCTAATATACATTACAGCCGTGAAATAACCATTCCAGCCATCAAAAAGCAAAACTGACCTAGTTCCTGGAGAAAGGAAGCTTTCTGCTGAGAGTCAGCCCTGGGTCCCAGGATGCTTTCTAAAAGTGATTGCCGCTGTGAGAAACAGTTCTTGCACCTTGGTTGCTACTCTTCATTACGTTTTTCTTTTTCGATGAAAGGATTGTTGGGTAATATCAACGACAAAGAACAATGAATATGTACTCAAGTTACTTGTACCTATGGGTGGCTTCCTGGTGTGCAATAAATGTTAAACTAGGTTTTCTAAGGACATAAATCTTCAACACTATTTCCAATATTATGAGGGAAAACCACCCCCAATACCGTAGGGAAAAAAGCTTCAGATTTCATAGGTCCTCCAAAGTTTAGAAGCAGCCCTGAAGCGACTCGGTGTCGTCCCTGGGGACACTTTCCAAGATTTTAACCAGCTATTGGCAACTTAATTTCTGTCCACCTTGTCACATCGCGTCCTCGCCCATGAGTACGCAGGATGTCACCCCTTCCCACCCTAGCCAGGGAGACGCTGGCCTGGAGGACGTCACAGCTCGGGATGGCAGCAGCCCTTCACCAGGGGGAGTGGAGTGGAAGGGGAGAGGCGAGTTCTGTATTTTGGTGGCTCCCTTTCGGGGAGAATCTAGGGGCGGCTGGGGGTCGCCTGGGGTCCCTGTTAGACCCTTTCCTGACTCGGCGCGGGAAAACTCGCCGCAGCCGCAGTCGCAGCTCAACATCCCGGGAACGCAGCTCCGGGGCGCGGCCGGGCGGGGAGGGGTGGGGCGGGGGTGTGAGCGGCGCCCGCCTCCAGTGCGCAGGCGCGGGCGCGGCAGGCGAGGCCGGGCCGGGAGCGCGGCGGCGGCGGCAGCGGCAGCGGAGAGCGCGGGAAGATGGCGGCAGCGGCTACGGCGGCGGGGGCCGAGCAGGTCTGTGAACCCCGCTGCGGCTGGGGCTAGAGGAGCGGGCGAGGCGGGGCATTGCGGGTAGGCCACCGGAAGGGTGGCCGGCGGGGCGCGAGGGCCAGCGGGGAGTGGACTCCGCGGGGCGGGGCGGGAGGAGCTGTCCGCCACCGGGATGCTGGCAAAGGCGGGACGCGACCCCGAGCAGGAGCTCCCTTGCCGGGAAAGGGGAGCCTGCCGCGGCCCTCGGCCTAGCTTGGCTTGGCTATCCATCGTCGGCGGTGAGAAGGGGACACTGTCCTCAGGGATCTGGAGGCCACCGTGCCAGTCTGGAGCCTACTCCGGGACGTGCCCGGCTTGGCAGCCAGCAAAGATGCGGATAAAAATAACCTCAGTCCCGGCTGAGAGGCTCCCCAGACACCAGCCAAGAAATGGTCAGCTGTTGCCTAGTGTCAGATTGTGGCCACGTCTTGTTTCTGCCAACCCTGATATGCAGACGTGCCAGATTTCCCCTCCCACTTTTTGGTTTTTGGAGATTTAGTCGCCAGTATAAAACCTTTCCTGTCCAGTGGGTTTAAAATCACTTTTAGGAATGCATTATCAAGTATTTCCTGATCTGCATTGTAAACTTGTAACTTAGACTAGTTTCAGAGCCCCCCCCCATCAGCCTATATTCATGCATACATATACATGCATATATGTGTACATACATGTATATATGGATGGTTGCTAGAGCCGTAATTTTCAGTCACTTCTTAATTCTTGTTTCCCTTTAAAGTAACTTTTTAGTTTATCTTAAGAAAGTGTCATTCTTCAACATCGTTGCAAAAATAAATGAGCCAAGTTGCAAACATTCTTTTTGACCTTTGGAAAGATTTTCGTAGGTGATTAACTTTTTAGGGACCTATTAGTTATATGTCTGGAAGTCTCATTCTAAGGGACAGAAAAAAATAGGAAAATGTGAAGTCTGCCTTCAAGGAGACTAAAGTCAAACTGCCAAATAAATGAAGAAAAATCAGCTAAAAACTCCAGTCAAGCTGCTAATTTAGTGATAGTTAATGTAAAGGAATGAGTGAAATGTAAACAAGTTTGGGACTGTTGAGATTAAAGCTGTTCCTTAGCTCTCATGACTTTCCTCCTGATTAAACAGCTTCGTTTTAGATTGTTCTTTTGCCATCTGTCATACCCTCTGATACTCTTGAGATTCTTGATGTTCTATTCTTCCTTTACACATAAGCTGGGTATTGTGATCCCTCCTAATCTTCCTTGTGAGCCATCTTAGACCCCTCTGTATCACACTCACATCCAAGAAGTCACTAAGTCCTCATAGTTCTACCTGTTAAATCTTCTCCCCAGTCTTCTTTTCATCTCCAAAGCCATGGTTCAGTTAGGCTCTCACTTGCACTGTTAGAGGAACCTGCTGTTCTATTCAGTTCACCTCTTTTGTCATGATTTTGCTTGATGTAAATCTGAGTTGTATCACTCATAATTTTTAAATCTTCAGTAGTTCACTGTCTTTTGCAAAAATTCCATTCTTGCATTGGTACTTAGTGTCATTTACTGCCTCCTGCCACCACATCCCTTACTTCCTCTTTTGATTCATTACTCTATACCTATCCTCTCCATTCGCATAAAGTTACCAAAGTTCCTTGACTCAGAGGTGACTTGAACTCTAAATCTCAAAGTTGTTCCCTATGCCTAGAATGCCTCTCCCTGCTCTTTTGATGGACTAAATCCTGACCATCCTTCAGAATTCAACTTACTGTAGCCTCCACCCCCTAAGAAGGTTTGCAGTCCTCTTCTGTGCCCTTTTGGTATTGCTTTCACTGCTATGGTATGGCACTTACCATGTTGTACTGCAATTGTTAGTAACCTTGTCTGTCTACCTTATTGTCCTATAAGTAAACTCTTTGAAGGATATCTTGTTTACCAGTTTGGAGTAACTGTTACCACATAGTAAATAGTCAGTAAATGTGAAATACATCAAATTGAAGATAATAATGTAGATGAATTTGCAAAGACTCCATTTTGCCCTTTCTCTCTTATCTGTGGACCTATATTCATACTCAGCCTGAGACCTTTAAGTTGCCCATCTATTAAGCTATCACAAGCCCCTACTGTTCTGTACAATAAAAGAAAGCACTCTCACTATGGCATTTTACTCCCGCAACTACAAAAACAATCTAAATGCATACTCAATTCTAAAATGTTTGCAGGTCATGCACCCTCTTAGGTGTTGCAGCCTCACGAAGTACCCAACCTACACAACTGTATTTACATCTGTTTTGTTATAAAATACTTTTTTAGTAGATTATTTTACTTTCTACAGAGCCTTCCTTATCATTCCTGATCTATGTCAGATCTAGCAATGTGGGGAGAATAAAAGTTTTGGACAAGTAGGGCATGCTGAGGAAGTTGTTGGATAGCAGAGTAGTTTTTTATGTTCTGTGGAGCTAGAGGTCACCAGTGGTTTTTGATCATGAATGACTTATGTTTCAGGGAATGAAAAAGGTAAGGCCATCTGTCAAGGACGAGTGAAAAGGGCAACTGGAATATTAATGTGGTGGCAGAGGTAGCAGGCTGATCAAAAGCTCATAAAAAATGGGAAAAAAGGGAAGTATTTGAGAGTTATATCTGACCCACCTGCTCCTCCCCGTTTCCCTAGAAACTACAGCTCATCCTGATTCTCTCCCATTTGAAGCCTGCAGCATGTATTGCTATGCAGTTGGTTTGGCACCTGAATATTCAGAGTACTTTATTGCACTGTTAACTATTTCTGGCATAGGACTGTAATACATAGAGAATAAGGATGCTGGCCTATATGTCTTGTATCCCTAAGTATGATATTAATGTTCAAGCATAAAATTCTTAATACATATCTATTCAATAAGTGAGTTTTCTCAGAGCTCTAAAAATTATATAAGTTGAGCAGTGTCCATTTCTACCATTCCTTTCATGCCTAATTAAATAGGATTATTGCCTAATATGTCATTCAACCATAGTCTGGTTTAATGGTTCTCAAGTTTTTTTGATCTTATATCTTTACACTCTTAAAAACTACTGAGATCTTAAAGAGCTTTTGTTTATATAGGTTACATTCATTGATATTTACCTGATTAGAAATCAAAACTGAAAAAAATTTGAAAATACAAGAATGTACAAACATTGCATTATCTCTGAGAGTAATAATGTCATCACATATGATCATGTACCCATTGTCCATTCAAGAGAGGAAAGTGAAAAAGGAAATGATATCTTAACATTATTTTGAAAATGTACCTGGCATTCCAAACCCTGGAAGGGTTCACTTGACCCCATCACAGCCAACACACACACACACACACACACACACACACTTACATATACACACTCAAAGGACTGCCCAATCTGCTGATCTATGATAATATTAGCTCTAGTCAATGGAGTTTTAAGGAGCAAATTATATCAAGTACCAAATTCTTTTGAAAATATGCATATGAAAAAATTAAACATGTTAATAAAACATTAATAAAAATAAATTATCCACCCTAAGATATGTTTGTCAACTCCAACAAGAAATGAGGTGTACACCTGATTGACAATAAGACTGTTGAAAGCAAAGAGGGAAAATATGTTATTCAACAGTCACACTGAAGTTTCTGCTACGCAGTGCCTCTAAGTATAGTAATGTCCTTATTTGGAGCCTGCAACGCCATGACTTGCAGGGTTGTAGTGGAAAATATATCAGTAACTAGTTTAGCTTTTTTAAAAAATATTTTTTAGTTGTCAATGGATCTTTTATTTATTTATTTGTATGTGGTGCTGAGGATGGAACCCAGGGCCTCACACATGCCAAGCAGGTGCTCTACCACTAAGCCACAATTCCAGCCCTAGTTTAGCTTTCTTTAGTTATGAATTTGCCCTTAATAAATGTATCAAAAAAGTGTGTTACAACTGTTCCATTGTGCTGTATTTTGTTTTTAGCCAAGTTCCAATGGTCCTGTAAAGAAGTCCATGCGTGAGAAGGCTGTGGAGAGAAGGAATGTTAATAAAGAACACAATAGTAACTTTAAAGCAGGATATATTCCAATTGATGAAGATCGGCTCCATAAAACAGGATTGAGAGGGAGAAAGGGCAATTTAGCCATCTGTGTGATTATCCTCTTGTTTATTCTGGCTGTCATCAATTTAATTGTAAGTCTATGGTACAGAATATTCTCTTTTAATCACCAGGGGGAAATTTTCATCTTGCTTTATGGTGATATTCTTAACTTAGTTTCTGTCACTTGTTGGGGCGGGGGCTGTCTTACTTTCTGATTTTCTATACATGTTTTATCTCGAATAGGCTTTAGTCAACATGTATAAAAAAACCTAGTAGGCTGAGGAGACAACACTAATTGCAGGAAAAGTTGAATGAAAAGACAGGAATCTATTGTTTTAGGAGAGGCAAAGACAATAAAATCATGGCAGAGTTCTCTTTTTGACATGACAGATTCTTCCCTTTAAAGGACTTAACTTTTAATTAGGATAGAGTCAACTCAATAGAGGAGAACTTTGCCATGATTTTGTTGTCTTTGCCTCTCCTAAAAAATAGATTCCTGTCTTTTCATTCAACCTTTCCTGCAATTAGTAATGCCTCTTCAGCTGGATTTTAAAATCATAAACCTTTTTAAAAATTATGATTATTATTGTTATTAACACCATACGCAATTTCTTCTTATTTTTTATTTTTAATGGTTAATGGCAGTAAAGATTTGGGTTTTGTAGTCCCAAGTCCCTATTGTCAAGAATGAAAGGATCTGCTGGGTGTGGTGGTGCATGCCTATAATCCCAGAAGCTCGGGAGGCTGAGGCAGGAGGATTGTGAGTTCAGAGACCGCCTCAGCAATTTAGCGAGGTGCTAAGCAATTTAGCAAGACCCTGTGCTCAGTGATTAGGCACCCCTGGGTTCAGTCCCTGGTACCAAAAAGAATGAAAGTATCTGGTAGGTCGATTCATACTATGGTGCTGAGGATCTATAGCCACCTTTTCCAAAGATATTTACTTTTTTACAAAAAGGGCTTATTAGTCTGAGTTCATGACTCTGATGGTTAATTTTGAAATCTGGAATGCATTTAGGTTGATATTTTTATTTTCAGAGAGTGATTGATGGTATACATAAGACTGCTCATAAACATGATCTGTAGCACTTCAAAAGTGAATTTATATTATTACTTCTAATGCTCTCAAGTCAGCCTTGTATTCTATGTACATTCAAAACATTTGTGTCTAATTATTCACTAAAGTCAGCAAGAGCTAACATTATACATTTTATGGTAGGTACCATAAATAGCTTTACTAGGAGCACATATTCTAAATTTATTTTTATCTTATAACCTTGAAGATTTCTGGTTAAAATGGCAGAACAAAGACATTTCTGTCCTCTTCCAAAAAAATTTATCCCAAAGTGACAATGTCGAAATATCTTTGAAGAGGGTGAAAGACAACTGAAGTCCCAAACCACAATATATGAAGACAAAAAGTAGGAGAAGGGATGCCAAACACTTGTCAGTGAGGAGAGATTGCGTGCCTGTTTGTTGGGAGGGGTTGCAGGGTGTTAGTGAAGTGCCTTGCTGAACCCTGCAAAGCCTCAGGAGTTGGAAATACAAGTACTTTGAAAAGCAGAATCAAGACAGGACCTGAACTTGTTTGAAAAAAATCTATAGTAGTCAGATGCCTAGGCCTCCCTCTGTCTCAGCCAGCAGTTAGGCAGCCGCCCCTCTGAACACCATCCCAAACTGGCAGGTGTCTAGACACCTTGGGCCAGACAGGGATCTTTGTGCCTAAGCCTGTTGTAAAAAGGTGGGTTTCCAACCTGAAAGCAGTGCACTGAGGCTGCCTTTCCTGAACTCCCTTCTCCTCCTCCTTCAGCTCCCTGGCATCAGCCAAGAGGCAAAGGAGCCCTCCATAGGTAACTGAAGCACCTAAACAAAAGATGTGACAATAGTGACTTTTGGCAGGTCCCAGTGAAAAAAACATCGACTCTCACTATCATGAAGCCAATAAGTCACAAGCCCCACCCCACATAGAGAATTTCCTATGATCTTTTTCTCAAAAATCACTGTTAAGTATGAACACTGAGCCAGAGATCAATAGATTTTTGAAGAAAGCTCCAGGAATTGAGAAATGAAAAGGACAAAATACCCAAGTCCTGGGGAAGTATAAACTCAAATTTAGGAAGATAAAGAAAATGCAATGATTGACAGAAAATATTAAGGATATTGAGTCCATGAGACAAGAATGACATACCATATAAAAGGAGCAATTGAAGAATAGGAAGAACTCATAAAGATATACACACAGATGGATGAATAGATTTTGGAAAACAAAGAAAAGTAGCTCTTCCAGAATGTTCAACAAAAATGAAGAATCAGTCTGGGAGTTTTCTATTAACAGGAGATTCAGAAGCAAAAACAGAAAAACATTGGAAAGTTATCATAAGAAAAATTTCTAGAAGAGATTAAAAGCTACCATTCTAGCTCTGGAATAATGCATCAAGGAAAAAAAAAGAAATCCAGGCTCTTACTATGAAATGTTAAAAAATAAATAAATAAAAATAAATCATAAATAAAGACCTTAAAATCTTCCTAAATTTTTTCCAGGAAAAAAAAATGACTCACTCTTATATAAACAGTAAGTCAGAGTGGCATTGGACCTCTCAAAAACAGAAGAGAGCTAGGCATGGTGGTGCACCCTGTAATCCCAGTGACTCAGGAAGGTGGATGAGGCAGGAGGATTGCAAGTTCAAGACCAGCCTGGGCAATTTATCAAGACCCTGTCTCAAAATAAAAAGGGATGGAAATGTAGCTCAGTGGTAGAGTGTTCCCGTTCCAACAGAAATATTTTAAAACTAGCAATGGAAACTGGAAGGCAATAAAGCAATAGCTTTCAAAGTTCAGAAAGAACATCGTTTAAAATCTAAAAATGCATACCTAGCCAGAGTGTCAGTCAAATGCAACATTCTTGCCATGCACATTCTTCAGAAAATTTTGCTTCTACTCTGTTTGTGAGAAAACCACTAGCACTAAAGAAAGTTGGAGATAAGGAAACTGGGTATCTTTCTTGCACAGGAGAAAGACAAAAGGAAATTCTAGCATGAAAGAAAATGAAAAGTACAGGGTTACAGCTGTGCAAAAGGCCAGAGATTGGAGCAGGAAATCCGGACTAGAGCAGGAAGATTTTCTGAGAGAGAAAAATAAATACATTATCTGAGGAGTTTGGAAAGAACATTCATGGAGAGATTTATAGAAATGTTGGAGGGTTTGAGATTTAGTTATATTTTCAAAGAAGCTAAGCAAATTAAAGAAGTATACAAAGTACAAGAAAAGAACTGCCATCATAATATCATATTTGCTTTAGCAATGAGCAGTGTTTACATGGTCATAATACTGAAAATACCGAACATAGATTCATCTGAAACTTGAGGTTGGAGTTGGGAGAGAAAAGAGGTAGAAATAAGCTAAACTTCTCATCTGCTAAAATAAGAAATTTCTAGATAAAACCTAAATTTGATAAATGTAGAAATAATAGTATACATATATTATTTCATATATTATTTAAAAACAAGGAGATAAAGCCCACAGCTAAAATTGTTGAAAGTGATTAGCCTGGGGAATGAGACCTGGAAAGGTAGAAGAAATTATAAACCTTTCCTTGGTCTTTTGCATATAATGGCATGATAAGAATAAAATTGGTTTTGTTTATAAGTGGAAAATCAATTAATATATTCATCTTACTGATTAAACATTTTAGTAACTCTTTAATATTTTGGCAATGATTTTTTTCTTTTCATTTTCCAAGCGTGTCAAGTGTATACCTGTTAACAATGGGCTTGTGCTTTTTTTCAGATAACCCTTGTTATTTGGGCTGTGATTCGCATTGGACCAAATGGCTGTGACAGCATGGAATTTCATGAAAGTGGTCTGCTTCGATTTAAGCAAGTATCTGACATGGGAGTTATACATCCTCTTTATAAGAGCACAGTTGGAGGAAGGCGAAATGAAAATTTGGTCATCACTGGCAACAACCAACCTGTAAGTTACGACATTAATTGAAATGCAGTGTAAATGAGAAAGTGGAATTAGAAAACAAGTCTTTGTAAAAACCTCGAGTTGATTATAGGAAAGAGATATCTTCTTTTAGAGAAAATTAATATACTCATTTTATATTCACAAATGTATTCAATATTTGTAAATATTTAGTACTCAATAGGGTTGGTTTTATAATCTATTAAAGTTATATGCTTTCTTAGTATTCTAGATTTTGTTCAGTGGTAGCACTGACAGATATAATTAGTGTAAGAATGGGTAGATTACTAATCTCCACATGAAGCCATTAAGGAAGCTCCTTCCTGGGTTAGAATATCCCATGTTTTCTGATAATCTGAAAGAGAGTATGCCTCTCTGCTCAGTAGCAGGCCATTCCAAGTGGTTGCTCTAACATAGGCTTTTAACTGAGTGAAACCTTAAGAAGGTATTCTCACTTTCATCCCAGCCACCTTAGGCCTTGAGCCATGTTCCCTATGTTCCTCTCTTTATTTATGCAGAGCCAAATAAGCAAATAAACATTTAAGTTTTCGTTTTAAAGAATTCTTCTCCCAAGGAAGTAGAGACAGAACACATGCATTTAAAATCATTTGAAGTTAGTCTATTATTATAGTTAGTTAAATAGTGTTTCATAGTATTTTTTTAGAATAATGTTCTTCATGAATTTTGGTTGTAATATTCTTTGAAAATATATTCACAATAGAGTGTTTTTCTGAAGATTGTTTTTCAGCAAGGGACAACAAAGCTCAGTGTAGAAAAGAACAAAACTTCTATTACAAGTGACATTGGTATGCAGTTTTTTGACCCGAGGACTCAACATATCTTATTCAGCACAGACTATGAAACCCATGAGTTTCATTTGCCAAGTGGAGTGAAAAGTCTGAATGTTCAAAAAGCATCTACTGAAAGGGTATGATTTCTTTTCTTCACTTTACTAATGGGAGACAGTTATTGTCTAAAGTTATAAAGTGGGAGGAGAGTTTCACTTCTTTTTTTTAAATATTTATTTTTTAGTTTTAGGTGGGCACAATATCTTTATTTTATTTTTATGTCGTGCTGAGAATCGAACCCAGTGTCTCATGCATGCTAGGCGAGCGCAGTACCACTTGAGCCATATCCCCAGACCCTAGTTTCACTTCTTTACAGTGGTATGAAAGAATGTATTCCAGAACATTGGAAAGGATTAGTTCTAGATCTTTCATTATCTAGTTTATGTGAGCAATATCAAGTCCTCTCTTTATTATCAGTTTCCAGATGTAAAAAATTTCCTATCCTCTCTCATGTTTGAAATTCTCATTTATCTGAGATAATTAGTCTCACATTATTTAGAAAAGCTTATCAGTATTTTTTTTTAATTTTTAGATTACCAGCAATGCTACCAGTGATTTAAATATAAAAGTTGATGGAAAGGCTATTGTGCGTGGAAATGAAGGAGTATTCATTATGGGAAAAACCATTGAATTTCACATGGGTGGTAATATGGAGTTAAAGGCTGTGAGTATTTTCTTAAGAATTTTAAGAGAGTTATTAGGTTCTTGGATACATAAATCCATGTGTAGAATAGTATACAGTTACTAAAAATAGTGATGTATTTTTTTGTCATGAAAATATTTTCAAAATGGATTGTGAAGTAAAAGAAAGTTACAAAACAATTTATGAAATATTTCATTTTTATTTTTTAGGATATATCTGTTTATAAAAACTTACAATAATATGTCAAAATATCAACAATATTTAGTTATGGGTAGCAGGAAAACAGACAATTTAATTTTATGTTTATTTCTGTTAGTTTGTATTTTCTGAATTTTGTTGGTATTAGTTTAAAAGGCAAAAAAGAAAAACCCAAACTGGAAGATCAAAGTATGCATGCCCTAAAGTTGTTGTGTCTTCATGTCCTTTCCTGTTTTTTATCCAGTGTCATGATAAAAACAATTATCAAATGTATCAAGTGTATTTTATTTAAACATCTATTATTAATTATATAGGGAGAAGATTTTTGCCTTATTGCAGCTGCTGAAAATTAAATTTCTTTGTGTTTCACAGATTTTATATGAACTTTAGCAGATATCATACTTCATATAAGGGAGCCATAAGTTCAAAAACTTTTACCAGCTCATAATTCTGGTCAAATGCCTTTGGGCACTTCTATATACTACTTAAGTAAAACTAATAAATTTGTCTTACCAAGCATTGCATGATAAAAGTCACTTCAAGCCTAAAGACTTATTTACTCCCTTTTTAAAAAAAGTGAATTGCACATTTTTTAGGAATAATGAACTTTAGAAAATGAGGTAGTTTTTTCACTTTCATAAACAAATTTTTCCCTAAAGCTCATAATTTCATTTCTAAATAATAAAGATAAGCAGAAAGTGTAATTCTTGCTAGAAACACCCTAACATTATTGAGTAGTTTTACTTGCGTTGTACTAAGAAGCCCTTCCTCTAAGAGAGCAATGTTGAGCACCAGCCACAGCTGGGTTGTTGTTTTGTGCATAAGAAAGCTGAAGAGAAAAGCAAGAGGTGTGAACCATATGTAGAGACCATACACAAATTGTTTAAATGTTGAAATACTTGAAAATATGTATACATACCAGTTTCTTCACAGCTAAAAAAAAATGAAAAGATAACTAGCTTTATAATTCAGTTAATATCAATGGTTAGTTTTAAAGAATATAAGCTACTCATAAGAATTTTATCAAACTACCTTTTCAAATCCCCTTTTTCCTCACTTTCTCACCCTCTCTCTCTCCCCCTCCACCCTCCCCCCACCTCTCATTTTAATTTTTCTTTTTTGTGGTACTGGGAATCAAACCCAGAGCCTCACACACATGCTAAGTAAGCATTCTCCACTGAGCTACATTCCCAGCCCTTATTTTTCATTTTTAATTAACATGTCGTGTACATATTTATGAGGTACAATGTGATGTTTTGGTAGATAAATACAATGTGTAATGATCAAAATAGAGTAATTAGCATATCCATCACCTCAAACATTTATTGTTTCTTTGTGGTAAGAATATTCAAAATCCTCTCTTCTAGCTATTTTTAAGTATACAACATATTGTTAACTGTATTCACCCTACTATGTGATAGAACTCTAGAATTTATTGAAAATGCCTAAGTAATTTAAAGAAAGTAAAATTAATGACCACAAGATGGCAGCATTGCAACAAAATTTGAAAACTAATCACTTAAGAATTATATTTATTCAGTATGTAGCTTGAGCATTCCTATTCCAAAAATTTGGATTTGGAATACTTGACCAGTAAAATATTCCAAAATCCAAAACACTGTGAAATGTGAAACACTTCTGTTCCAAGCATTTCAGATAAGGGATATTCAGCCTGTAACACCACTACATAGTACATTAGCCATTTCTATTGCTTTTTAACCATCTTCCTGTCATCTCATCTTGTAAATACCCTCTGCGAGATGATTTAGAACTCCTGCCTCAGCCTTTCCTCTGAACTAATTCATATACACAAATGCCTACTTACTTTCTCCACTTCCATGTCTAACAGCACCTGAAATCTAACAAGTCTAAAATCTTGATATCCTGCTTCCTCACCAGGCACATCTTTACCTTTGCATGTACCGTTTTCTCAGCTTGGAATTCCCTTCCCCAGTTAACCTACCTGACTTAAGTTCCTCACTTCTTCCAGTTTCTGTTGGAATGTGACCTTATCAGGGAGGCCTTTCCTGACTCATACATTTCTTTCAGTGTTCTGTCCTGTAAAATTATAACCCATCAACAAAGCCTTCTGGCTTTACTTTCAGAAGATGTACAGAGGCTGGCTGCTTCTCATCACCTCCATCATCACCACTATGGTATGAACTGCCATCATTTTCCTGCCTGAATTGTTGGAACAGCCTCCTAACTGGTCCTTTTGTGACTTTCTTCACACCTGTAGTTATTTTTCTGCCTTTCAACCAGAATGATTTTCTAAAACAGTCACATCACTTTCCCATTCGGAATCCTCTATATGGCTTCCGTCTAATTTCAAATAAAATCTAGAATTCATTCCTTTGACTTTCACGTCTGGTTCCTGATTATTTCTCCTCAGCCTCTGTGCTCCATTCATAGTGGCCACCTTATTGTCCCTAGAACGCCAGGCACATCTTTACCTTTGCATGTACCGTTTTCTCAGCTTGGAATTCCCTTCCCCAGTTAACCTACCTGACTTAAGTTCCTCACTTCTTCCAGTTTCTGTTGGAATGTGACCTTATCAGGGAGGCCTTTCCTGACTTATAAAATACGATCCCCACTTGCTCACTCTCTCTACTTACCCTGTTTTATGTTTCCCCAGAATTTATCCCGTCTGCTGCCTTATGTGTCTTACCTCTTCATTTGTTTATTGTTTGCTCCCCTCCCTGAAATGGCAGCCTTCTTTTTTACTTCTGTGTCACTAGCACCTAGGATAGTGCCTGGTACATAGTGGGCACTTAATAATTATTTATTGAGCGAATGAAAGAGAGAACAAAGAAAGGAAAGAAGTGAGATACGCTTAGTGTTTCCTCTTAAAACAGGGGTTTTAAGAGCCTATGTTATAAAAGTTTTTCTGGAGCAATGGCCTTAAAGAGGAAAAATCTCCAGACAGTTTCCTTTGAGTATCTGGTTTTCTAAATTATATGGTTTTAATCTAGTTAATTCAATCTTCATTAATTAAAATTAATTGCCTGTAAGAGAAAATGCCTTCTTCTTCTCATCATCACAAACTTATCAGTCAGTACCTTTGTTAATATTCTCTTAGGAATTAACAAATGAAAATGAGACATAATCAACATTAGTTTTATTATACACTTAGGAGTTTTGATGTAACTTTAACTAACAATTGAGAGTTATATGGCAGGTTTATTGACATTTAGTCGAACTGAATAAACTAAGAAGTCACCAGTTGAATCTTGATGATTGTTTTGGTTTTTGATGCTGCCATTATTGTTTTGGTCGTGATTTTACTCTCTAACTGCCTTCTTTTCATGTTAATATTCTGGCAAGTTTTGTTTAATAACTTTGTTCTATACTCATATGTGGAAGTAAATAAATTGTACTATTATCCTTTTTGTAGGAAAACAGCATCATCCTAAATGGAACTGTGATGGTCAGCACAAGTCGATTACCCAGTTCCTCCAGTGGGGACCAGCTGGGTGGTGGCGACTGGGTGCGCTACAAGCTCTGCATGTGTGCCGATGGGACTCTCTTCAAAGTACAAGTAACTGTACAGAACATGGGCTGCCAAATCTCAGACAACCCTTGCGGGAACACGCATTAGAAGAGCCCAGAGGTCATCAGTATGTTTATATCTTGACTTGACCTTTTTTTTCCCCCCTAAGTATGCATGCAAATCATGTTTTTACAGAGTTTGTGATAATTTGTAATTATTTTAACTGAAGAGCACTACTGTATCTATTATGTAGTCTCCATATTTAAAATATTCTTGAGAGTCTAAATTCTAATACATTTTATTAAGTTGCACTGATTTTTCAAGTGACAGTCCCCTAAAATCATTATAAGAAGTTAATAAAATCAAAATTAATCTTTAAAAAGTGTTTTTTTAAAATTCTACTATCCTTGACTAAAGGATAAAGGGCTGGCACAACTATTTAGATTCACTATAATCAGTTTTTGATAATTCTAATGGGAATAGACCCATTAGAGATGTTTAAAAGGCATACCATCAGTGTTTCATGTTCTATCTTTTGGTTTCAAAAAGAAAAGATGTGGATTTTTAGGGTATTAACCTTGAACCATATTCTCACATGCCAGTAAAGTCATTAAAGAACTTGACATTTGTGAGAGAATAAACTGTGGTTCCTTAGCTTTTCACTAAGAAGAAAACACTCTGTGATAGAATGCTTATTTGATATAATGATAATTATTGAGAGTTCACAGTATGATAGAAAGCAGACACATGCTCAGTTTTAACTTTTAAGTAATGATAGCTTTTAAGTCATTTGTTGAGTGTCTTAGATTTCCCAGGCTTTGCATATTTAATGTCTCTAGTTCTCACTGAGGCTCTCTGAATAGGTGTTATTATCCCAGTTTTACCCATTAGGAACTGAGGATCAGACAAGTTAATAAACTTGCCTAAGATGATATAGTAAATAGCAGAGTTGGGATTGGAATGCAGGTGTGATTCAAACCTAAATGTAATTGATTCCAAATACCATGCTCTTTTCACTATCTTCACTGAATTCTCAATTATTTAAAACTCTAGAAAGATGAAAAAGGAATAATTCTAACTTCCCTAAGGTAAGAAAATCAAACAAAACAGTTAGACTACTCTAGTTAAAATAAATAAATCTTATATCAGATTAAAAAAAAACAATCACTGTCAGATTTTAACTATCTTTTAAGACAATTCCAAAATACTATTCTATATAGAGGTGTAATTGGCCTACCTATGACTTACCAGTTTTCCAAATAAAGGTCATTGGCACACTGGATTACCTGAATAGGTTCCAGAGGTACAGGGACATTCTCACCCTTCGCCCTAGGGCAGCTCAGTGCAGTGGGAGACAGTAGGCCTAGCCAAGTCCTGCTGGTTTTACTACAGCATACCACACTAATGTCACCCTTTTTAATGGGTCAGGATACAGAACTAAAGGCAGGAGATAATACACAAAATTTTTGAGTGTAATAAGTTATCTTCTAATATCACTATCTCATTATAATTATACCCTCAAACCAGTTGATTTTTAACATATTTTGTATTTGATATGAAAGGAACTCTCTGGTATTATTAAGACACACACAGGATCAGGGACAGGGACCCCAAAGTAGATTGCCGTAGAATAGGCAGTATAGGTACATATCATAGGTTCTGTTTGCAATGAAATATTAACCATGTTCTATCATGGTCACTTTGAACTGTGTAGATAAGAAAATCAATGCAAAAAATTGTATTCAATATAGTCATGGTTCTCTTTTACAGAAAAACCGTATACCTTATAGATTATGAAGTCAATAAATTTTACTGAAATAGGATTGATTTACTATATAATACTGAGAGCAGTTTTTAAGTGAAAAGAAAATGAGAGATTTCTGACCTCTGAGTATTATTAGTTACAGTGATATTTGAAACCTTTTGGATATCTTTTAATGTCTGAATGATTCTCAGAAAAAAATCATTGAAATTTTCATTTAGATGCTCAGTGTATTTTAAAATTGTACATTCATTACTTGTCTATTTAGATTTGTTTTGAAAGTTTCTTTAAATATTTTTATTAAAACCACAGAACACTATATTACAAAGTATTATTTATTGAATCTAATTCATGATATAGTCTATTTTTACTTCTCTTTGAGAAATATTTGTGTTTTTGATACATTTCCATTAAGTGCTTTTGACATGAGAAGATATTTTGGTGTTTTTATAAAACTGACTGTTATCAGGTATAGCATTTTAGGATATTCTATAGGTAGTCTTTGCTTTTCCACTGAAATGTAGACCTGGAAAATTTATTGGGAAGCAGAACAAGAACAAACCACCCATTTTACCTGTGACCTATTTGATTCACAGTGAAATTTCAGCAACTCAATAGCACCCCCTGATGGTGTTTTTCTATAAAGGGATAAATTTACCTCTTCCTGATTCCATTAAGCACTGACAGAGCAAGCAGCAGGTTTGGGGGAGGTGGATGATAGAGGACCCTGAGAAGGATGTAGATACATGCTTGTTTGAATAATGACAGTATTGTAGAGGTGGATTATCATGACATATGGAATAAAAATAAGTAAATGCATGATTTCTTAGAGACTGTCTAATGGACAGATAGGAAAAATGCAAAACAATACAAAGCAGGGACTGCCTATACATAGTCTGCAATATTTTAAAATACACTAATTTGTATTTTTTTGGCATTGTGAAAAAAATAAATTTTGTGTGATAGTTTTGATGATGAAAGATAGAAATTCTATCTAGTTTTGAATGAGTGTTTTTTAAGGAAGTAAAATGTTTTGGTGCTAAACTTGACAACAAAGAGACCATTGAAATGCTGATAGTTTTACTCATCTGAAGTGTTAAGAGGGGCAAAGATTAGAAATCATGCCATACAAAAAAAATTAAGTAGATAAAAATTTGTTTCAGATTGCTAACTTGCATTTCAGTTCATTCAATTTGTAATGACTATTAATGACCTCTGTTTACAATAAAAATTCTGTAAACTATTGGCTGTTAGTTTTTTAGTATTTATATGTTCATGGATTTCCACTTGATCATGCAGACATTATAAATTTAAATATATTTTGAGAATGGAACTTCATCTGTATTTATGTAATATCTCTGGATATCAGATTTAGAAAGTTGCAGTGTGGATAGTCCTACCCCATTTGCATTGCAGAAGGCGTCTCTCCAGCATCCAGGGAATTAACTGTGCACACTGTTACCCTGGCAAGCGGCCAGTGCTGGAGATGAAAGGGTGAAGGCTTGCCACTTAGCTAGCATGATGGCAGGAGGGGAGGAGCCTCCAAGGCTCAGTTCTGAAATCATCCACTATAGACCCATTTGAAAACTACCTAAGGCTCTTAAGGTATGTCTCAGAAGCATCGTATCATATTTTTTCCACATCTTCTCATCACCAAAATAGTCTTACTTTTTTTTCTTTCTCTTTTTCCAACTTGTTTTTATCTAAGAATGAATTCTTCATTTCATTTCTACTTTTTTTTCCTCTACTGCCTTCTTCCTCCTCTTTCTCTCTGATACATGCACACCCACGCCCAGTATTTCTAACTGCTTCTTCAAACTTCAGCTTGAATATGTCTATTTAAAGACTTACATTTTATCTTATTGTTTTCAGTTTCCTCACAAACTTTTTCTGGAGTTCTTAGTGCTAAACAGCACTAAGAATTTATATATACCCAGTCTATATAAATTTCTATGTAATAAAAATAATGTTTCTTTATAAATAAATAACTTTCACTGTAAGATAATAGGATTATTCTTATGTGTTTTGAACTTAAATCCATTAACGTATCAATGTCTTCAATTTAAAAAGAAGCAAGGCAATAGAAATCTTTAAGTTAAAAACTTTTTAAGAAAAAGTATTTTTCAACTACATCTTTCTCTTCAGTACTACAAAGTGATGTGCTTCTTTAAATGATTTTGTTGTTGTTGCTAATATTATAGTATTAGCTGCATATACAATTACAATGATTACAGCTTGAATGTAGAAGGAAATATTTTCTGACTGGACAAATTAATTCAGTTTCTGTGCATAAGGGACACACTATAAATCACTCCTCCTGCTATAGGGCAGCTTTGCAGTTCATGGTCATGTGTATGAATTTAGATGTCATCCAGAATTTGGGAGAACTGACCTTGTGTGAAAAAAAGTTTAAAACTTAACACTGTAAATTTAATTTAGTCCACACATTCATTCATGCAAACAAAGCATAGCCCAGAGACAGACTACAGACTATTAAAAATATAAAATGGAAATGTGTATGTGTGTTTAAAAATATAAAACATGGAAATGTGTATGTGTGTGTGTGTGTGTGTGTGTGTGTGTGTGTGTGTGTGTGAGTCATGATCCTTACTTTATTTCAGGGAGTTCAGAACAGACACAAAGCAAAACACTAAAAATGCAGGATAGTATTCATTCAATAAATATTTAATGAAATATTTGTGAAGGCATAAAGACAAATAGAGGCTAGAGCATAGGATTTGAGATGAGTATGGAAGAATGTATAGGATTTCGACAGAGGAGAGGAAAAGGCATTGAGCTTAGAATTGGGAATAATTAAAAAGCTAATTTTGACATGAGATGTGCATATATAGTTTTGTGCCTAAGCCATATCTTGTGGTTGCTCCACATGTATTTTTCAAACTAGTTCATGAGGTCAGCTAGATAACTCAAATCTTTGAATGCCACTCTGAGAGATTTGGACTATAGGCAGTAAGTAGCCCTTTGAGGATTCTGATCATCTAATTGATAAGGGAATTACACAAGAAAAACAGTATTATGGGAAGATAATGCTTCAGAATCACCTAAAATGGATCAAGAAAAAAGAAGAAGAGTCAAGAGTCAAAGGCAGGAAGATCAATTAGAACATTCTAGTATTTTAGACTATAGCAATGAAAACTAGAAAGTGTGCCATTAAATCAGAAAGGAAGGAACTATTTGTTGTAACTGCATACTGAATAATGTGGTTGTTTATACACTGATTTTTAGGTGGAATTTTAAAACAATTGCAAAAGCCCATTTGCATTTCTTTTTTAAATTATTTTTGTGTATGCATTCAGCCTTTGTGGCTTGTATTTATACTTATAAAACTTTCAGTTGCTTCTCAAGAATTTTTTAATGAAAAAGATACCTGAGGTTTCTATCTCTCACTATATCTATGTGGTTCTGAGGCAGAACATCCTTTTCATAACTCATTTATGTTGTATATATTTAAATGATTTGAAAAGTCACACAAAAACCACAAAGACAAAGATTTTAGTTTTTCTAGTCATGGAAAAAAGTATATGTTTGGCAAGTTGAACTTTCTACTTACAGGGTTATAGGAAGTTCACAGTTTAGTGTAACTGGGTATCATTCATGTAATAAACCACGTGGCTTACAATTTTCTAGATAAGCATAGCAGACTTTGCTCCCTACTAATGATCAGCAAAGAAACAGAGAAGTCTTCTTGGTAAGTTTCACTCACTCCAAAGCAGACTACGCAGTGAATGATACTGAAAAAGCAGGTGTCAAGGTGAGGACTTATTAAATATATATTTTCTGAAAATACAGACAAGTCCTTTCTTTAAAGTGCTATAAATAAAATTTTATGCTAGTTTTACCATTTCAGTAACTACTGAAATGTTTTTAATGTCTTGACTTCTAAGAAATCAGTCACTTAAATTGACAATCAAGATAACTTTCCTGAATCTTAGAAGTGGAAATTAAATATCCTGCTTCTTATTTGCTGCTACTTTTTATGTAAGTTATTTTGAAAAGTCAATTTTTTTTTATTTTTCCAGGCATTATGAAAAACTTCTATTTCAGAGTTATTACCATAGTTATAGGTGTTTTCTTTACTGGAACAAGAGAAAATCCATCAAGAAAAAGCAGTATTTTATTCAATTCAGAGTACCAAAGTAATAAATATCTCCTAACAAATTGTTCTACTGGAAAGCATGAGCTACCCATGGACTCATCACAGACAGCAGCCACAGTGAACGTAAGCTTCAGTTTCTTTAGAGTTCTCTTACAGTCTCACATGATAAAAGAAGAATGGAAAATAAAACATCTGGACCTCCCTGATTCTCTCATATGGAAAATGACCTTGAGCCCTCTCACACATTTACATGCTTTGGAAATACTCAACCTGAGCAACAGTGCCATCCACTCCATCTCGTTGGATCTATCCAGTCCTCACTCCTCACCAAAAAAACACCAGAGAAGCAGCTTCCAAAATGAACTTCTCTTTCTAAAGGTGCTAATTCTTCAAAGAAATAAACTCACTGACACTCCCAAGGGTGAGTACAATTTGAAAAGGTGGACTAGAGAGAGAAACGAGTATGAGGAGAATTAATGTTTTATGTTAATAAGAATTCCATATTTGTTTTCAGTTTCAAGGGACCAACTGACAATAAAGCAATTTGATCAGAGCAAATACAGTAAAAGGTTTCACAGTGGTATTGGAAGTCATATGTAGAATTTATAATCAATACAATTTAATCCCTCATTATTATAACTTTAATGTTAAATAGTGTTGTTGAGAGACACTAAGAAGTATTGAAGTGCTAAATAAGAAAGTGTGATTTTTAAGCTATTTTGTTTATCAGCATTTTGTTAATATGGAAAAGCATGAGAAACAGCTAGTTCATATATTTTTAATACATAATGTAATTTAAATTATGTTGCCATGTTTATAAATTTTTCTTTATAGAATATGTTTTGCCTCTTCTGATCTAGTTGTCCTTCAACTGTAGGCCAGAAATGTGCCAATATTACATATAAGTTTGTGAGCTTTCTGATTATCAAATCAAAATCAGAATTCCTTATTCTAGATTCTAACAGAATACTTTTCTTCTTATAGTAAATTCTCATGTGACATTCAGTAGTCTACGTGTTAGAATCCCTTTACTGTGAATTGTTTTATTTAGAATATATATCAGGTTCATAAGGCAAAACTTCTTTTGCCCTTTTTATATTCTGGAGTGCTGGGAAATTTTCTTATTCCGTTATTGTTGTTGTTTGTTTGTTTGTTTTGAGTCTTGTTCACCGTTTGTCAAGCACCTACTTGAAGCAAGATACTTATGCTTAAAAAAGTAATGATTTTGCCTGCTTTCTCCATCTCAAATTATGCATATTTAGCTTTTCTCATTTTTCACTTCTTATGTTTCAGATAGATAGATAGTTATGGAGTTTTTTGTTTGTTTGTTTTGTTTTTTCTTTTTGCCTTTCCCCAGCTTCAGGCCTTCTTTTAAGAACCATTTGGCAATACTAATCTCACAGGTAAAGGCATGATTGTTTCAGTCACCTTATCAGCAGAACTGTGTGAGAAGGTGGGAGTGTTTTTTTCTCTTTGACCTTCTGCATGAATACAATGTATAGTATTTTCAATGCAAAGTGTAAATGATTAGATTTCATTTTATAATTTTTATTTTTTGTTCTTATTACAAAAGGAATGTCTGCAATTTGTAGAATTTTCAGGGATTTAAGAAGCATTAAAAAGTAAAATTTAAACTCACTTATGTAATATATAGTCTTTAAGTTTATTCTTTATATCTAAATATACATTTTTCTTCCAGTGATACTGTACATAATATTTCATAATTTGTATTTTCCTATCAGGACATTTTGGGCATATTTATATAATTAAGTAATCTCATAAATAATATTTGAAATAGTTGGATAGTTCTCATATATGTTTCCTAATTGGATTAATAACTTTTATTTTCATTTTGATATATTTAAATAAGCATTATTATAGTTATATGTATCCATTTGACCTAACATATTTTTAAGCAAGTGTCGTAGATATAAACCTCACTCCACAAATTCAAGTGTCCTAGAGATATAACATTCTGCAGTCTCTAACATAATTTGTGATTCTGAGTCCCCAAGGGGGTGGTTGTAGGGATATATAACATCTTTCATTGGCCTTTCTCTGCCTTTCCCCAGATGTGTACTGTAGCTGTAGAGTCTTATGCCCTGACAAAATGTGTGTGTTCCTACCTGCTGCAACCCAGAGAATATTTCTTCTTAGTCTGTACAGTTTGGAGAAAATTCCTTCCCCGTTTTGTTTCTTCCATACCCTGTGTGTCTAGAAGGTCCTTTCCTCTGAAGGTTTAGAACTTATAGGCTGGGCTGCCTCTGCCTTGTCATGTGCCTTCTCTGGAGTAGTGAGCATGGAGCCTGTTTTCTGCTTGAATGGAGAGAAAAGGAAAGAGAAAACTATAGGCAAGGATAAAGATAAATATGTCAAAATATTATTCTACCACAGAGTACATAGAGAAGTGCTGAGTCTCTCTCCTTAGAGCAGATGAAGACCCCAGGTTAATCAGTGTTTAGGGCTAATACAATTCTACTTCAGGACCAAATATTCCTATAAATACAGCTACAGACTCATCTTCAAGTTAAACTTCTGCCTCCCAAGATATGTTGAACCTTCGAAGGTCAAAAATAAATAAAATGAGCAAATCCTGTATCTGAAATTCCATTAGAATTCTGGCAGATGAAACCATAGAGAAATGAACAAAGTAGATACTGAAAGTCCAGTGTAAGTCATAATCTAATTAGATATAATTCAGAGTCCTTTTATCCTTGGCATTTGGTGATTTGAATTGTTTTTCTGTTATCATGATATGCTTTCAATTTGTCCTGGGTTGAATCCCCTGTAACTGAATTTAAAATTCCATTTTGGAGGAAAATATTTTATTAAAAATATGCTGCCTGGGTATTGTAGTTTGGATGTGAGGTGTCCCCCCAAAGCTCCTATGTTGATGCAGGAATATTCAGAGGTAAAATGATTAGAAGAGCTGACTCACTTTCTCCAGTTAATCCTAGTTAGCATGGCTTGACTGGTGGTAACCACAGGCCTATGGGACACAGCTGGAAGAAGTGGGTCACTGGGGGTGTGCCCTAGAGGGGTGGTTCTTCCTGTGGCCCCTTCTCCCCTCTACCTTTCTCCCTCCCTCTCCCCCACCACCACATTGCTACCATGAGGGAAGGAACTACCCTCTGCTATACCCGTCCCCCATGATGTTCATCCTCACCTTGAGACCTCCAAAACCATGAGCCCCAAATAAACTTTCCCTCCTCTAAACTGTTCTTGTTGGGTATTTTGGTCACAGTGACAAAAAAGCCAACGAAAACACTGGGTCACTACCCAATTTTTGGCCTTTCCTTTATTCTTTTTCAATTCCTTCATAAGTCTGTTTTGGGAGGTTTGGGGTTATGTTTGTTTGTTTATTTTCTTACTACTACACTACTGGGGATCAAACTCCAGGCCTCTGACATGCTACGCAAGCACTCTACCATTGAGCCAGATCCCAGCCCTCTGTTTAAAGGTAACATATAAATAATACACATGTTCCTCAACTTAAGATGTGGCTACAACTTTGTAAATCCATCGTAAGTTGAAAACATCATAAGGCCAAAATGCATTTAATACACCTCATCTACCAAACATCATAGCCTACCCTTTCTTAGACATGCTCAGAACATTTACATTAGCCTATAGTTAGGAAAAATCATGTAACACGAAGTCTGTTTTATTATAAAATGTTGAATATCTCAGTAGTTTATTGGATACTATAATAAAAGTGAAAAACAGTGATTATATGAGCATGCTTTCATACCTTGTAAAGCCAGAAAACCTTAAGTGGACCCCTTATAAATTGGAAACCATCCATATAATATTTATGCATAGAATTGTGAAGATAAATGAAAAATATATCTTAAGAAGCTAATTTAACATGGTAGCTGGCATAATAAATGGAAGCAATTAAACTACATGAAGGGTATTTTATAGACTCGTACTTTGCAAATGTTAGTTTTTATTGCTCTCTTGGCACAAATTGAGAATAACAGTATACTTAGAAACAAATAATTAATTTGTTTTTCTCTAAATCTCAAGTTAACTTTTAAAATGTTAAATAACTATCGCTGTGGATGGGATTCATAGCCCACTATAATTGATGAGCATCGAACCATTTGTGTCTGTCTAGATGTGCTTGCATTCATCTACAATAATAATAAATTAAAGATATCCCAGAAGGCAGCAGTTAGCCTTGTAGCACATACATACCTTTATAACTCATGTTTCATGTGTATTTAAATGGCGACTGTTTACAGAACACTCAAATGAGCCCATTTTTGTAAGGGTGAATCATCACATTGACAAACAATTATCAGATAATCTCCTGTGTCCAGAGTCTGCTGATGTCACCAGTAAGCTTTGTGTTGGGAAAACACACAGGTGAGGTACTGGCCAATGCAATACACACAAAGCAGAAACCATCCATGAATTTAACCTTAATGATGATTGCACCTTCCTTCCTTCCTTAATTTTGAAGTACAATGTTCATAACTGAGAAATTGGTGTGTTCTTTAGCTTTCTGTTGCTGTAACAAAATACCTGAGATAGTCAATTTAAAGAGAAGAAAGGCTTGTTTTGGCTTATGGTTTTGGCAGTTTCATTCCACCTCAGTTGGCTCCTATTGCTTATGAGGCTTGCTGAGGTAGTACATCATGGCAGGAGCATGTGACAAAGAAAGCTGCTTGCCTCATGGTAGCCAGGGAATGGAAGAGGAGAGAGAGCAAGGGACCTGCATCCTATAGTCCCCTTCAAGGGCATCTGTTGAAACATAGTATCTACCTAAAATGTCCAAGGCCAGCCATTAATGCACATCACAACCATTTTCATGTAACCCATCATCATTGACTCACAAAGAAATATTTTTAAAAAACACATTTTCCCCCCATTTAGAAATGCAGCCAAATATCATGGAAGAATTTACTCAGATTTCCCAACTCCATCTTAAATGTCATTTTCAAGGACCACACCAGTTATCTTAATAAAGTAGAATTTTAATTCTCTTAAATTGGAAAAAAAAAAGTTTCATATAGGAGACATAACTGAACTTTATGGTGTTAATTCTGATCTCCAGAAGAAGCTTACCTTCTTGAAGACTCTCGTTTTGATATTATCAAAGGAGTTGAATAAAATTTTTTATTTCCTTATAACTCTCTATATTCAAAACCACCCATTCCCTCCATGATTGGCCCTGTTCTGGGCCCATTCTCATTTACTCTTATACTTCTGTTATTCTACTTACATGTTTATTGACCTTAAAGGAATCACTTAACCTAAAAATGCGTCCTGGTCCTTATCTTTAACTGAGGGTAGTTATATACCCAAAGTTGGTGTTATAATTAGAGATAGTGTGTATAATGACCATAACACATGGACTGAAGATATATATAAAACATCTCTCATAGTGCTGGTACACAGCAGATACTCAAAAACGATTAGTTCCCTGTGTCAGTCAGCTTTTTTGCTGCTGTGACTAAAGAACCTGACCAGAACAAGTATAGAGGAGGGAAAGTTACACTTGAGGGCTCATAGTTTCAGAGGTCTTAGTCCAGAGAAGGCTGGTACCATTTCTCAGGTCTCCAGATGAGGTTGAACATCATGGCGGAATGCATGGCAGAGGGAAGCAGCTCACATCATGGTGATCAAGAAGCAGAGAGACTGACTCTACTTGCCACATATAAATATATACACTAAAGCCACACCCCAATTCTCACCTCCTATATCTACACCCTACCATTTTGGTTAATCCTATCAGGGATTAACCCACTGGTTAGGCTAAGGCTATATAATCCCGTCATTTCTCTTCCAAACTTGTTTGCATTGTCTCACATGTGAGCTTTTGGGGGACACCACATCTAAACCATAACATTCCCCTTTAGCTCCAATTGGTAATCCTCTACCTCTAATTGCTGTTTCCTGTTCCAATCTTTGCTATAATGATCACTTTCTTGATTTGAGATAGTTAAAGATGATTCTAATTTCCTGTCTGTAAATATTCAGAGTTTATAGGAAGCTGAGTATTTGTCAGTAGTCTCGTTGCTACTGTTTATACTGTGCAGGTCTGTGTAATATTGAAGGCCTCTGCTTCTTCTGTTTCTGAGCTCTCTCTCATCTGTCCTCTAACTCTGAGCCATACTGATCTGTGAAACTGTTGACATTATCAAGATGATGACCTTTGCATCAACTTAAGTTTCTTCATGCCCTTTTGTAATCTTTCTTTCCCACTCATCACCTCTCCCCAGCCATTGATCTCTTTTCTATCGCTGTAGATTCATTTGCATTTTCCATAATTTTACATAAATGCAAATCATACAATAAAAATGGCTCCCTACTGATTCAACTTAATGATTACTTGGCTTCATGCTGGTGTGAAAGCAAAACACATTAAATAGCAACTGTACTTTGAATTTTGATCTTCTCCTAGTCTAGTGAAATGGGGAGTGATATGCTGTTGTGATGCTGAGCAGTGGCAGCCAGCCCAGTCAAGCAGCCACATGATCACAGGGAGACAACTGACACCACAGTGCACCATGTTGCTAAGCTGTGAAACTTGGTAGGTTAGGTGTATTAAATGCATTTTTGATTTATGATATTTTTAACTTATGATAGGTTTATTGGAATAGAACATCATAAGTCAAGGAGCATCTGTATGTTTTGTTTTGTTTTGGTATTGGGGATTGAAGTAGGCATTTAACCACTGAGCCACATCCCCAACCCTTTTTTTTTTATTTATTTAGAGCAACTCTCATTTGCTGAGGCTGGCTTTGAACTCACAATCCTCCTGCCTCAGCCTCCCGAGCCACTGGGATTACAGGTGTGTGTCACCTCACCTGGCTTATATCTACTTTTGTTGTAGCTTCTTTCTTTCAGTATAATTATCTTAAGATTTATTCATATTGTCGTGTATATTAAAATTTCATTCCTTTTTATTGCTGAGTAGAATTCCTTCATGTGGATTATCATCTATCTATTGATAAGCTGTCTTTTTTGACTCTTGCAAATAAAACTGCTAATTAAAAGGATGGAGAAATAAATGATTAGATGAATACTAATCAAAAGAAAGAGTATTTCAGACAAAGCAGACTTCAGAACAAGAAAATTATCAAGTATAGGAAGAAATCATCAATTCTTGAAGAAAACATAATAATCCTCAACATGAATACACTTAACAACAGAGCATTAGAATACATAAGAAAAAAAGTGATAGATCAACATCACCTTGCCATTGATAGATCAAGCAAGCAAGCAATCAATAAGGATCTAGTTGACTTGAATAGCACTATCAATCAACTTGATCTAAATTATATCTATAGAATGCTTCATCTAGCCAGACACAGTGACCCAATGCCTGTAATACCCGCAACTCAGGAGGCTTAGGCAGGAGGATTGCAAGTTTGAGATCAGCCTCAGCATCTTAGCAAGACCCCCAGCAACTTAATGAGATCTTGTCACAAAATTAAAAATTCAAAGTACTGGAAATATAGTTCAATGGTAAAGCACCCCCTGTTACAATCCCCAGTACATTCATCAAGTTATGTCACACTATGGATCATAAACATATCTTAACAAACATGGGAAAATAGAAATCATATAAACTGAGTAATTCAGTTACAGTGGAATTGAACCATGAATCCATATCAAATATAACTAGAAAACTCTAAAGTCTCTGGGAACTAAATGTGTTAGTCAGCTTTCTGTCACTGTGATAAATACATCAACTTAAAGGAAAGAAAGGTTTATTTTGGCTAATGGTTTCCGAGGTTTCAGTCCATGGTCATTTGGCTGCATTCCTTTTGAACCTGTGGCAAGGCAGAACATCATGGTAAGGGAGCATGTGGTGGAGCAAAGCTGCTCACCTCTTCATGGCCATGAATCAAAGAGAGTAGAGAGGCCAGGTCTCAATATCTTGTTCAAGGGTGTGCCCCCAATGTCCTAACTTCTTTAAACCTCCTCAAGCTCTACCACCTCCAAGAGCACCAAGGGCTGGGGACCACAACTTCAACACATACGCCTTCCAGGGACATTCAAAATAATAATGCATAGGTCAAAGAAGCCTCAAGAGTAGTTTTTAATATTTTGAGCTGGTTGATAATGAAAATGCAACTTATTAAAATTTATAGGATGCAGCAAAAACAGTGGCTAGAAGGAAATTCATAGAATTAAATGTACATATTAGAAAAGAAGTAAAAAATCAGTAACCTAAATTTCCACTTTAGAAAACTAAAAAAACAATGCAAGCCTAAAGTAAGCAGAAGAAAAGAAATAAAATGATAGACAGCAAAGAAATTAAAAACAGGAAAAAATAGATAAAATGAGCAAAATCAAAATTTGGTTATTTGAAAAAATACATAAAATTGAAATCCTCTAGCCAAACTACTCCTCCACAAATAAAATGAGGGAAGACTCAAATTAGGCTAATATCATAAAGAGTGGTTATCAGCACTATTCCCATTGACATTTTTAAAATAGTAAAATTTTGTGGCAATCTGTTTTCATTTCCCTTAAGTAAATAACCTAGTGGTTGAATGGCTGGGCCATATGTTGGATTTATGTTTAACTTTTTAAGAAATTATCAAATTGTTTTTGCCACGTGGCTGTTCCATTTTAAATTTCAAGTAGTATTATGTGAGAATTTCAGTTGTTCTACATCCTCACCATGCTAGGTATTATTGGTCTTTTTAAATTATAGCCATACTAATTGATGTACAATATCAGTTTCATTTGGATTTCTCTAAATTACTGATATTGAATATCTTTCTGTGTATTTATTTGACATTTGTTACATTTTTTTAATGATGTTTGCAGATCTTTGACTCATTAAATTACTGAGTTTTGAGAGTTCCTTACATATTCTGGATATAAGTCCTTTAAGAGAATGTGATTTCCAAGTATTTTCTTCCAGTATATAGAATGATTATTCATTATCTTTAACAATGTCTTTTAAAGAGCAGTTTTTAATTTTTTTTATTTTATGAAGTCCAATTCATAAATTTGTTATTTTATAGATTGTTTTGTGATGTCATGTCTAAGAAATCTTTGCCTAACCCAATATCACAAAGATTTTCTCCTCTTGTAGAAGTTTTACAACATCTAATTTACATTTAGGTATGTGATCCATTTTGAGTTGATTGTTATATGTGATGCCAGTAACCGTTTTATTAATGTATAGTTGTTCCAGGTTAATTTGTTGAAAAGATTATTTTTGAAAAGCTTTTTGCTCTTGTCAAAGATTAACATAGGTAAAACTATTTCTGAACTTCTTCCAAAGATCCCTTGGTCTATCTTGATCCCAATACTACAGTGTATTGATTTCTATAGATTTGTAATAATTTTGAAGTCAGATAATGTAAGTCCTCCAAATTTGTTATTCTTTTTTAAAGCTGTTTTGACTATCCTAGGTTGTTTTCATCTCTATATAAATTTAGAGTCAGTGTGTCAATTTCTAGAGAAAATCTTGCTGGGATTTTTATTGGAATTGTGTTGAATCTATAGATCAATTTGGGAAGAATTAACTTCTTAACAATACTGAAGTATTCTGATATATAAACACAGAATTCCCCTTCACTTATGTAGGTCTTTAATTTCTCTCAACAGTGTCTTATACTTTTCAGTGGATATGTCTTGTACATATTTTGTCAGATTTATCTCTGTGTATTTCATATTTTTGATGCTGTTTCAAATTAATTACATATTTATCTTTTATCCTACAATCTTATCAGACTCAATTCTCAGTTCTAGACATTTTTTGTAGATTCTACAGGTTATCTATAATGACAATTATTACATCTGCAAATAAGAGCAGTTCACCTTTTTCTTTCCATTCTGGATGCCTTTTCATTACAATATCACACTAGCTAGAACCTCCAGCACAGTGTTGAACAGAAGCAGAGAGAGTGGGTGTCCCTGTCTTGTTTCTAATTTTAGAGGAAAAGCATTTGGTCTTTTATCATTAAGCCTGGTGTTAGCTATTGGTTTTTCATAGGTGCTCCGTTTTGGGGTGATGAGATTTTCTGTATTCCTAGTTTGCTGAAAGCTTTTATCAGGCACAGACATTGAATTTCATCAGATGTTTTTTTGGATCTATTAAGATGATCATATGGTTCTT